ATACTGAGAACCCCCAACCACACGTGTCATTCCCTTTTGAAACGTAGTCAAAACGCATCCCTAAGAGGTCATCAGTTTAAGTTGATCACACAGTACAGTCGACTGGAATGTCGACGCAATTTCTTCTCCCTCCGAGTGGCACAACCTTGGAACGCCCTTCCAGAACATGTAATTAACGCTCCCACCCTATCCCTTTTCAAAAAACGCCTTGACGAAACTCTGACACGATTGCACTATGTGATATAACGTGCGACCATCGGATGATGGTATTAGTGAACAACGAACATGGACGGAATCCACTTAAAATTCCTATTGGATTACTTGTTTATGTGCATCTCCAATCCCTTGGTGAGTCATGCATTTCCCACGTACTTTCATCTATACGATATTTTTAATTTTACCATGTTAATTCTCATCATCCTACGGGACCTGTCAAGCATTGCTTTTATAACCGTCATAAACCATTGTTCCATTGTACTTCACATGGCTTTCTAAACACCACCCCAAGTTCTGAATTGCCAAGTATAGACCTTCCTGAAGGTAAGCTGTGGTAGCGTGGACATAATCGCGATTAAAATGTAGCACAACAAGACAGCCCCAACGTTTGATACCGCCAAATAACTAAATATCCAGTTCAACTACAACTTTCCATGGCTCAAACAGACATTGCAGCTATCCCGTAATGAACCAAGGCCTCTGGATCCAATTGCATGACGCAGCGCACTTGCATCGCTTACATCCATTCTCATTTACGCTCCTTTTCATGAATTCACCTTTTGCATTTTGTGTAGGACCATGGACATATTGCTTAAGCTTTTCCTTACTGAGCGTGCTTTAGAGCTCATCTCTAAACAATCCAAGAAAACTTTTAATTTAGCACCACGCAACACCCAAGCTTGGTAGCTCCTGAGGTTTCCATAATTATATCCAAAGCTGATACTGCAACAATCCTTTCGCTACCGTTGTGTTAGGTAGTCTTGTGCCTTATCACTCCTGTTTATAACTTTGAATGCTTGTTATTTGCTACACACATAGCCGATCTTCAGCTCATGCTTCTCAGATGTTATGTTATCCCTACCAGTTGCAACGTCTTCGACTATCTCCCTGAAGGAGTTTAGCTTCCTGACTAGCTTTCCATAGCTCAGTCAATGTTTGCACTATCCTTCTCTCACTACCCTAGTATGCGTGTTTGTATCCCATATTTTTATTGTTTTGTTGACTTACACTGTGACACTGTAAAAAGCAACCAGTAAACTAAGGTCTTAGTCTAATGGCTAAACCTGGCCAATGATACACTGTTCACTAACACCAATACCTTGTGTTCGTCACACCTACAACACCTCTAAATGGAAGCAACGAGTCATCGTAGGCGCCATTCATCTCTGCTCATGTCCGGAGCATGCTAGTAGCCAACTTTTATCCCTCCAACTTTTATTCTCGTGGACTGTTTGCATTACCTACCTGCAAACTATCGCCCAGTGACTCTCCTCCCTATGTTCGCGAAGGTGATGGAAGCAGTCGTCGCTGAGGGTTTAATGGACTAACTGGAAAAATGCGACATTTTGGCACCGAACAGCATGGCTTCCGTCAACACCGGTCATGCACCACCAACCTACTTATTGCACGAGGTAGTTGGACGGAAGTGGCCGATGATGGGGTCGGAGTCGACGTCATCTATCTGGAATTCTCCAAAGCTTTCGACCGCCTTGATCACCGCATCCTACTTTAATACTACAAAGTTACGGAATCGGAGATCTTGTACTTGGTTGGATTGGCAACTTCCTTTACCAACGAAAGCTTTAAGTACGTGTTAGGGGATCACTTTCTAACCCAATTGAGGTGAAATGTGGTGTCCCACAAGGTTCAGTGCTGGGACCGCGCTTATTCCTGGTGTTTATCAACGACCTGGCAAGAGTCATATCCTCAAACTTCCTGCTTTTCGCCGATGACGTCAAGATATGGCGGGCGATAAGTAACAAGGCAAATCAGGATCTGCTCCAACATGACCTAGATTGCATTTACGAATGGTCAAAGAGGAGCAAGCTTTAATTGAACATGGCTGAGTGCAAAGTGAGGCATCTGCGTCACCAGCCGGTGAGCGCTTACAAGATTGAAGACCACCCATTGGCGAAGGTTTCTCAGGAGCGTGACTTGGGTGTATTGGTACAGGAAGATCTCGGGTGTTCAAAACAAGCAGAGAAGGCTAGGAGAACCGGAAATCAATATTTTGGCCCTCTTCGCAGAGCCTTCGGTCGGTTTGAACCCTCAATATTTCCCCAAATGCTTAAGGCCAACGTGCGACCACACGTGAAATATGCTATTCAGGCGTGGCAGCCGTGGCAGAAACAGGATCTCATTGCTCTCGAGACTCCTCAACGAAGGACAACCAAGAACGTCAGGGGCCTCTTTCATCTGCCCTATCAGCTTAGACTGAAATCTCTAAGAATATACAGCAATCGATATCGGCTTTTGCGGGGGATCTCATAATGGTTTACCAGATTCTGAAGCACCCAAACCATATTTGTCGTCAGCTGCTGGGTTTGAACCACAACATTAAACTAAGAGGTCACCCTCTGAAACTGACAATTCAGTATAGCCGGCTTGAATGCCGTAGCAATTTCTTTTCTCTCCGCGTGTGTGAGCCTTGGAACGCCCTCCCTAACTATTTTGTCGCTGCTCCCAATCTGGCGATGTTTAAAAAACGTGTTGACGATGCATTGTCTCACTTGCATTTCATTTTATGACTTGTTAGCCAGGGGCTACAAAACGCAACAAACGGTTTCTTGCCAAACGCCTAACCAATGGATTTATGGATTTATACGTTTGATATGCAAACATCTCCGCTATTCCACATAAGTCTATGATGAGTCCACCACAACGCTTTTCACTTTATAATACTATTGATTTTCGCAATACTTTCCATCCCACGGGACTTGTTAAGCGATACTGTTTTACCCGTAATCAACCATTGTTCCATTGTCCAGTCATACTGGTCGCAAGTTTCTGAATCTTTTCTATACAAATGATGTCACTCCGGAGGTACGGCGACCAGGCCTGAACACAATACTCCAGATGTGGCCTGACCTTTGCTTTATATAATGGCAAGAATACTTCTACTTTAGTGTTACTCAGCGCTCTCCTAAGACGAAATAACTCGTGTCGTGCTATACTGGTAGCACGGCGACACTAAGCTGAAGGCTTCAAATTGATCGCTACGATGACATCTAGATCACGGGCTTCGTCAGTACACCGCAGTGATAGAGATCCCACAGGAGACTGAACTGCAATTCCGCTACCACAAATAGTCAAAAGTTGACCTTTGTTGGCATTTAGAGCAGAGTAAAAGTTTCCTACTCAGTCACTCTAGATCACGCTTCCAAGCCAAATTTGAAGGTGGAAATTGCAAGATAGAGCTTTTTCAAAACTAATTTTCCCGTCTTCTTAGCATTCTGCACTCAGGGTAACTGCAGAGTCAGTGCAAGACGGTGCAGGAGCAGTAGCGTGCAAAGAGCTCGGTAACACGCGAAGACAAGTGGTTGCAACCCAAAAAGAAGCAAACCAGCGAAGTACAAGAACCTACGTACGGAATAATCGCCCGCACATGGGCGCGTTACAATTAAATCGACAGCAGTGTGATAGGCAATCAAGCAGAAGCAAGACCGCATGACTGGCCAAGGAGCGCTAAATAGAAGTGTGAGTAGGATAAGCGAAGTTGGAAAAACAAAGCCAATAAGTTGAACACGACAGCTTGAAACATCTATAGTAGTCACCTACGCTGGTTTGTTGGTTATTCTGGGACACTGAACGTATCCACTATTGACCCAATACTTTAAGTAAATGGCTATATCTGGCCACTGATACCCTCTCCTAGCGCCATTATCTTCGATCGTCTGACCGCAACTAATAAAGCATATCTAGCCAACTTCTGGTCCCCGTTTGTCATTCTGCACTTTCACCTAGAACTTTAGTCCTATTATAAATAGACTCAAAACAATATTTCCACTACAAAGTAATTTTCTTTATCAACACCATCATTAGGGCCATCGTTTACATCTTGCAGCCTCTTTACTAATGCATCCACATCAAGTTAGTCAGATTTGACGACAAAAGTGCCTAGAGTTTCTATTTCTGCTCTCAAGCATTTAAAAGAATGAACAATTGAAAACGGTTTCCCTAAAGAGGAACTGCGTGCAACCCATTCGGCACCTGGGACAAACGCCTGAAGATGGACAGGCGAACAGAAAAACATACCAACGCCTCCAAATCCTTTACAATCTGCACAATGTCCCCGTTCCATTCCCCTATGAATGTACAACCTCTTCAAAGCATCGCTGGCCTCAACCATCTACAGTGGATGCTGATTATCCCACTCATTCAGCCAACAAGAGATACTGAGTGCAGATGGACTGCGAATAGCTGCGAGATAAGTCGGTCCGAATGCAGGCATGCTAGGGACACTTGGCTCAAAGTAAGATTGTTGGCTGTGTTCCAGGACGTGATGGGTTTGCGCCTGGTAAACGTTCTACCTACAAAGAGCTACAAATGTCTGCTTAAGAACCCTATGACGTGGTGGATGTGACACCACTAATAAAGTCACTGCCTTTCGCTTCACACTGGCAACGCTCCCTACGTCACCCACCACCAATTCACATGCATAGGTTCGCACACATTTACGTGCCTCCTTAATAACATTAGATTCTTCATTGGCAACACAGCGCTAACTATGCTGCTTCTCACAAGTTGACTACATTTTCAAGTTCCTGCGTGTAATCTAATCTTGACTTGGCGAAAGGCCATTGTTTATCGAACATTGATCATGCTCGGTTTGGCGGGCCCCGAAACATCCGAGAATAACAGTTTCATTCGTGTATGTATTTAGTTACGTGGTACATCACCGTTCAGTATTTGAGGCTGCGTGCCTGTTCCCACAAGCGGATCTGTCCGCATTACGCCGGACAGTGTAGTATATTGTTGGCCGCAGTGCACATGTGAAATGCTGAATGCTACAGGTTACTACGTATTACCTGGATAAATTTTGCCCATGGTTGACCTGCCCACAAGCAGAGGTGAGTATCGATCCTTGGTGGTCACCCAAATACCAGAGTGCAGAAGAAGAACAGCCATTTGAAGGAAAAGGTAATGGAGCGATCCGCATTAATGAGTTTGTTCACCTACAGTATAGATCATGTGAATTCCTGTACGCATGAATGCAAACCAATAATGTGCAAAAATTATGTGTCGCGTCGGTTCTTCCGGAGATCGCCGCACTTGTGCTGCTTTACACATAACTAAGTGTTTTGCGGGGTGAATAGTTTAGATCATTATGCTGGAGACTCCGTCCTTTGTTGTGAATCGGTGGAATTTACTGGGTGGTTATCTGTGCGTGTGCAATGTTTCGGCGTGCATAATTTACACATGGAAGAGTTAAGGGCTTGGAACTCAAGCAACAATAGCTAATCCCCTGTATCCAAATTCGTAAAGCAGCATTCCGTAGATTACAGTTTTTCGGTTGCCAATGGGCTGTGCCTCCGCGACGTCCGACAACGGCTGCCGATATAACAGAAGATGTATTAATCAAAGATATCCAAGAGCATGAGTCGCCGAACTATACGCAATTTCTCACTCTCGCGTCTAAACTGCGCCAGCCGTAGGAGGTTTCTAGGACAAAAGTACTCTGCTGTGCAGTTATAAAAGCGAAAATATTTCATGATGGTTGCGATCACTTAAAATATTGACTGCGTTGATAGTAAGGGAGGCAGATTTGCAACTGTATTGCCGTAGTGTCAAGTGGCCGGTGCCCCTGCCGCTTGATATTGACGCGAGCCGCAATGCACTTCCAGTTTACCTGCACATCTATTAATACTTCTCTAAGTGATGTAAAGCGATAAATAACTTTTTTATTCTCGGACAAGACGAAGCACGACTGTAGGTGCTTGAGCTTGGTGTAGGTACAGCTTAAAGTCAGGGAACCTGTAAATATAGTGCGTGTTTACCGTTGTCATTGGAGCTGTGCTTCTACACTTAGGTTGATGTTCATGTGTTTAGCTGTTATGCGAGTGTGCATTTGTGCCGCTGCACTTATGATTGACTGCGTGCATAGTGTGAGAAGTGACGAATGGCGTCTGTGGTGTGGGTGTGCTTGACTGGGAAAGCCTGGTGCCGTGATTTTATTTAGAGGCGCGTCTTATCCTTTTCCTCGCAATGCTGTCGAACTGACTTCCGTGGTTTTTCGAAGGAGAACGCTTGCCAGGCGAAAACACACCGCGTTTTGAAGCACTGCCTCCAAGTATTTTCGAGAACGAAGTAGACTCGAACCACCCGGCTGGTGCCACGGAGAAGTCGTAGTTACATAGCCGATTGCTAACAAGCTATAAGTGAGTGACTGGACGCTTGACAAGCAGGATTCTAAGTTCTGTAGTTACGTAACGATTCACGTCTGTTAGGGTAATTATTTAATTCAACAGGTTTCTATGGGTAAGCCACGGCTTCTCCAATCCTCTGGATTTAGGCAACCGAATCCAGTCATCCAATGGTTGGTAGATCAGAAATTAGACGAGTGTGCTGGGGGTAACAAATAATACAACATTTTATTGTAATTTCCTTTGTTTGCAGACCCGCGGTTCAGGTTGGGCACTTTGATAACTTCTTTTGGATATCTCAAGAACTCAGGGAACAGAAGAGGCACTACCTGCAATAAATGGAAAACCCATGCCGGTATCACGACGTGATTGATCCGCGACTTCTGTATGCCGGGCAGGGAGACGGAATTCTTTAGTGAAATGGTGTGTAACCGTAGTGTGTCCTAGTAAAAGCGCTCCTTGTGGCGTTAAATTCGTCGTTTGCATATCACAACATTTGTCCGCTGCCGAGTGTTTGCACAAACAAGGTGGGGTTTGCGCGGTGCATTTACAGAGAAACTGTATGGTATAGGCCTGTGTTCGACCGAGGTAACCCCTAATTACATACGATGAAAAGGGTTATGCTTGACATCTGTAGCCAATTGTTTCGTGAGACCTGCGATTCGGCGACGGTGGACCTGGGTTCATAAGTTTGTCATTATCCAACATGGAGTGTTTGCAATCTGATGAGGACTTTGTTGATATTACCAGACTTCCTTGGATTACCATACGCTCAATTTTGGATATATTGTACACGTACTTAGTACCTGGTCAGCGAATAATCCAGTGAGCATTTTACTTTAATTATTTCTTAGCGGCGTTCGTCCGTTACTTATCCTCCACTTCCACATTGTGTAGTTACATAGCGATCCTTCGCATTCATGTGCATGTCTTCAGGCAACAGTGTTGTTGGTAGCGTTTTATTTCTCCTGTACAACTATTGCAATACAAACGGTTTGTTCGTCTTATAAAAGAAACCGGGAATAGCAGGAAATTGCTGCACTCATGAGAGTGTCAGTTGGTGTCTTGATGGTGGTGTGGGTGTGTGCACCTTTTGCATGAAAGTAACTGTAATAGACGTTGCAAACGGCTGTAAACCGTTCCAGCTTGAGTTAGCTTCTGAACACGTGCCTTTACGTCGTGTGTTCGGGGCATTACATTTGCGTCTCTGTCGCAAACAGGGATTGTCAGATCGCTACGCCATGTCAATGAGATTATACACACAGACCATCGCATGAAGTCCATCAGAAATGCGCATTGCAGGATCCCTTTTCTTGACACTAGTAGACAAAATATAGACGTAAGTCAGCGATCTGCATCAGTATCAACGGTTTCCAGCTATATATGGGGTGCCATCTGCAAAGTATGTCGGTGTGCTTTTTGCGCTTCCTCGCTTTGATGTTGTCCAGTTACATTTATTTATTTACGGCGCATAAAGGGTGATAAGCTTCAACTCTTTTGGATATGATTTTTGTCACCTGGCTTGTAAGGCCTTATGTACCCTGAGTCGTTCATCTGCCCGAAGTCAAAGTCAGCAAAACTTGTAAAACTTTCTTTTTTTCCAAGATTGCGTGCACATAGACCTGTCCGAACAGTGCGTCAACTTTTGTGCTCTTTATTGATTTCAAATTGGTGCGCGCGCTTCCTTTGTGGCAGTATCTGACGTCACACTAGTAGGCACCGTCCCAACGAAACGGCACCTTAACGTGGTGCAAAGATTTGCGTACCTCCTTGACTCGCTGAGCTAAACTGGGCGATAATTATTGGCCGCTTGCGAACTATTCTTACCAGATTGGTCAATGATGAGAGGTCAGACAAACCCAGTCTCCTGTCCCTTCAGATTAGTGTTTTAAATTAGATGGCGTCCTTTTCTGTAAAAATATACCATTACCACCTTCCCTCTGCCTTGCAGATAAGCTTCGGAGACAAATGCTTTGGTAGTGGACACTAGTCATTCTCCTGTCTAGATCTGGGCGCCACGACGGTATCTCAGCCCACATACAACCATGACAATTTCCCCAAGCGCTAACTACATCGCGCATTGGTCGTCGGGCAGGTTATCAAGAGTCGACTTATCTGCTGCCCACAGCTTGGCAGATAAGCAAATACGTGCCACTACTGGTGCCTTCCTACTTTCTTTTCCACCTGTTTTTCTTACTCCTATACTGACCCCCATTACTGAACTTATTCTATTATTCCCAACTTAATGACAGCAATTGAAGTACCACTGGAGTAGAACCATCTGCCACCACCTACCCACAACTCTCATCGGAAGCCTATCGGCAGTAGTTCCTCTTAAAGTCGCTCTGTCCTTTTGTCCTGGCGGTGTTCAGCTTTCGCACCCTAAGACAAATCTACCAACAGGCTGCACTCGCACACATGTTAGACACACTGGGTATTGATGCGTATTGTTTGTTCGAAACTAGGATCAATGACACTCATTGGTTGTTCGATTGACTGCGACCGGCTTGTTCTCTCGCTATTTATTGCACGCCTTCAGAGACACCAATGCAGCACTCACTATTCAATCTGAGAAGGCAACATCTCAAGCTCCAACGATGGGTTATCATGGGTTGATTAAATTCCGCTGAACAGCCATTTATGTAGAGCCGTTTGAAGACCTCAACTAAGTTGGATTCAGGAAATGGTACAAAATGCTGTTTGTTTGTGATTTTGCTTATGCTCCCATCGACTGCAGTTCTAATGCTGTCAAGGACGCGTTATAGCGCGAATTGAACGAGCTACTACACAGCGATACTTATTAAACTATCATAGTAATTGCAGGTGATATGAACGCACAGCTAGGCGCCTGAGCTCTTTAGATGCTCAGCTTGGCGGTAATTACGGGTTTAAAGCGGAACGCACTGGCAATGGTAAGTGTTTGTTGCAACTGTGTCCGAAGCACCAGCTGGTTATTAGTAGCACTGCTTTTAGACACCGTGGGCGCCGACTATCATCTCTCTTGTTTAGCCTGACGGCAGACGTAAAACCGAAGCTCTGACACTGCTTGATTTCTACGTGCAGTCTCAACAGATCGCGGACTATTATACACCGTTTAGTCCCGCTTTGCGTCCTCTTTCCAAAATCGGAACAAGTGCTAAAGGATATCTGACGGTTTTAGCAAAATCTCTGCAAAACCTTCCAAATCACTGTGTGCTCCGCTCTGCAGTAGATATTTCCTTACCCATCTCAACGTACGCCAACCAAATCCTATTCATTCGGCTCGGAATTCCCAGCTCTAACCAACAACCATTAGGCCATCTCCATACCGCGGCAATCTACAACTATTGGCAGTATTTTGAGCCATATTTCCGAAAATGACCAGCAAATCGGATTTTCCACTATCTGACACTAGCTCCATCGTGTGGACTACGTCTCACCGACAACCGACCTCAAACGGTATCGATCAATAGACGCAAGTTTTCTCTCACCCCAAAGCCACTCGACCTTGCGTGCGTGTCAAAACGTGTGAGCGAATCACCCGGGAGCGTACTCCATAGACCTGTGCACATAGACGAACAAACGATACTAACGAATAAACCGCACAAGTGACAGAGAGACCAAAGAACTGCCCCATCAGCGAAAACTACCCGGAATTTAAACCGGTTGGTTTGCACAACTCATAGTAGTAAAAACTGCCCCATATTTTTTTCTCGTCTCCTTGCGGTTGTATTCTTACTCAACACTTACTAGACCTACACTCAGTACCATAACATTCTTCCGAGTACCCACTAGAAA